GCTCATCCCGTTCCAACCGGTACTGGTTGGAACGGGGCCGGCAGCATCCTCGTGCCCGCGCGCAGTTCACGCATGCGTCTTAGTGCCCGCGCGATACTCCAGCTGCTCACGGAGAATCGCTCAGGCATTGTATGTGCCATGCACCTGCGTGGAAGTGCAGAAGCCTTCAAAGACCGGTAAAGAGCGCGGGCAGGCGGGTGGGCCCTTCGGCGTTCCCAGAAGTTACTTACTTCCGGGTTCACCGACCAACCGGTTCGCGCGGACCGCTGCTGACCGGTTGAAACCCACCCCTGACTTCAAGTAACTCTTACAGTTACTGTTTTTGAATCAGGTTTCACTTAATCTGTACTTGTACCTTTGGTTTCTTCTGCCTAAATGTAAAACCTTGCTTTTCTCCACATTTCATGTTGTTTGATAGAGCCTATTGTTCAAGTCTATCAAGATCTTTTTGAATCCTGAAGTTGTCTTCTGAGGTGTTGGCTATTCCTGCCAGCTTAGTGTCATCTGAAAACTTGATGGTTCCCTTTTTATTCTCTCATCTAAGTCATTTATGAAGATCTAAGGGCCTAAGACAGAACCTTTTGGTATGCCACTGCTTACTTCCCTTCATGTAGATGTAATACCGTTAAGGATTACTCACTGAGTACAATTTGTCGGCTAGTTACAAATCCATCTGGTGGTGATGCTGTCTATGCCACATTTTTCTAGTTTACCAAGAAGTAGGTTGTGATCTACTTTGTTGAATGCCTTACTGAAGTCTAAGTATATTCTGTGCACAGCATTTTGCTGGTCTACTAATTTAGTTACTTTGTCAAAGAATGAAATAAGATTGATTTGGCATGATCAATCGAGATCATGCCAAATTAATCTTATTTCATTAACAAACCCATGCTGGCTTCTAGTTATAACTTTATTTGTTTCTAGATATTCCTAGATCTGTTCTTTGATTATCCCCCCCCCACCCCTATCTTCCCAGATATTGGTGTTAGGCTGATTGGTTTGTAGTTTCCTGGATCTAGGTTTAGCTTTACTAACTTAACAACTGCAGTGATTCACTTAACAAGTGCTAAGTAAAAGCAAGAAAAATAATAAAATGGGCAAAATTCACTTAACAAATGTCTTAGCACTTAGCAACAGAAATATTGGGCTAATTGTGGTGGTAAGTTGATGATTGGTCTCTTGCAATAAATAAATATTATATTTATACTTGTTTCTGTTTGACAAGAGATCTCCTTAACTAAGACCTGCTTCTGTTTGAAAAGAGAACTCCGATCCTTTAATGTTCCATGCTACAAAATATGTTCCTGGTTTCATATAATTAACTTTAAAAAATAGCAGGCAGAGAACAAAAGCCTGTATCCATCCATCCCATATGTGAATTGCATTCCAAACACAGACGCAATTTAATAAATTTCCAGAGAACCTGGTTTTACACATATCTTCTGCATACAGCATGAAATAAATGAGTTCAAAGGAGCTTTCATGCCCTTCAACTTTCCCAAATCACCTGAGGATTTCAGCTGATAATCCCAGGTGAACATCTGCCCTTCGGAAATGTTTATCCATGCACAGTAGGGGGATACGTGCCTGTCCTGGTGAGTATGAATGAAACGAATTTCATGCACTGCTGTATCTCTTTAACAAGCAGGCGGAGAGCTAAAGGCTTAAAGAGCAGGTTTCCAAAAGCTGCTTAAATTGACGCAATTTGCTTCTGAGTCAGGGGGCATTAACTTCTGAGTAAAAAGGATAAAAGTCAACAGGAAGAAAAAACGACAAGGGCCTATATTTCCTACCACCTCTTTCTGCTGAAACTCTAAAGAGCTGGATATTTTCTTCCATCTCAGGAGCAAAGTTAGGAGACTGGAATGAGCCCCTTTTGGCACCAGTTTGTCCCCATCCCACCCCATCAACACCCCAGCTGGTCCTTCTGAAGGGGAAGCAGCTTTGTCTTGACACCTGCTGGCTGTCAAGCAGGGACGTGCAGTCAGTAGAGGCAAGGGAGGCGGGGCCTCACCACTCTCCTCAGGGAAAGGAAAG